CTGAGGTAAAGATATAGACGGGATGAAAGTTGAGCAATTGCTTACAACCCTGAAACCATGACCCTGATGATTCTCCAACTGCGAACATAACCTTAACAAGAATATACCAAACCTAGAGTAAATTACTATTCAGTTTGTGTAACCAAACATAAATTCAATATAGAAATAATGAGTTACTGCTATTGTCTTTTTCTGGGTATTTTTTTTGAGTGCAAGGAACTTTAAGTCTTAAGTTCAAGTATCATGCTGCGAAAGTATGATATGGCATAAGTGACCTCCAAACCCAAAGGGAAGACGTCAGCAATCCATGGAGAAGAAAGAATAATGTCAGTCAGCATTGTGAACTCCGAAGCCTTGAGGAAGCAGTGGTAACACCATATCCCGTGGGTCATCGTGATAATAAGGCCACTCTGTGTGGTTCATATGACTGATATCAAGGATGTGTCGAGTATCCTCTTGGTGAAAGGTCACAGTCGTTGATGACGGGAGACGGTCTCGTTGAACCTCAACTTTTTGGACATTGACTGCCTGCTTGCCTGCCTGTCCCTAAGAGCAAGTTGCCTCCATGAGCATACGTGGTACCTCGAGAATATCCGATCCAGACAGTGATCCCCGGTGGTGATTCACTGCCGTCATCGACAAAAGTCATCCCAGAGGTCTCCTACACATGGAAACATGGCACGCAAATGAGATGTCGTGATATTTGTGTCCGTGCTATATGCTAATTCTACAACAGTAGAATAGAATAGAACTAGACATCAACAGAATGATCAAACATACCGCTCCTCCTCTGAATAGACTTTGATCCTCTTCGTTCTGGGATTAGTCACAAGGAGTGATCGGTTTGTACAGTACTTGCAACAATCATGGCTCTTGCGGTACAGAGTTAGATGAGGTTGTTAGACTGTTTCAACTAAAACAGTCCGGGATATGCAAATATGTGGACTGCCACGCTTACTCAAAATTGCAAAATCGTCAAGTCTGTACTAGCAAAGCTGTGATTGGAACTTAACAATATGCGATTTACCAAAAAGAACTGTAGGCCATGTGCTGGAACGAAAGGCTATGTATGTGTACATGAAATTGAGTTGTGCATGAACCAGATGAGGACGAGAGAGTCCGAATGGCAAATCAGTCTGGGAAATCGGGTTCCATTCTTCGGATATCCAGACCCGGCCATGGGAGGATTGCTTACATCGCGGAATCTGCAGCAAAAAGTGTGCACCCGGAAGAACAGAACAGAACAGAACAGAACGAAGGCATCTGCATGTGAGACAGACAGTGGTGGTGGCAATGTTTAATTCCAGTTCGGAGCATTGCGTGTCTGCATACAGAATAATAGTATTGACATCCACGAGAAGTCAGGAGGCTTCGAAAGTTAGATCGGGTCTCGTAGTGCGACTCCTTTCCGCCTTTATCCACAACAAACGAAGCGAAGCGTTGACTGGCGGTGATCTGTGGACATAGATATTCCCCGAATTAGTTCCTCGCACATGGTGCTCAAGGTTGACTCGTGATGACTCGTGTTGGTAGATATTCTGCTAATTAGTTCGAAGCACATGGTGCTGCTCCCGCATAGCGTACGTCCTCGATGTAACGTACTTCAGAAGCAAGGAACGAGCCCCTAAATCCAGAATACATCTAAAGAAGTTGTCTGCGGTTGTCGACCATGTGCTCGATATGGACGGGTGTGAGTCCATGGTTGAGTAAAGGAATCGAGGACGAGGACGAGGAAGAAGAAGAAGACATGAACAGTGGCAGGCCAAAAGCAAGAATCACTTGAAGGCACAGATGAATCGAAACGGATGGCGAGGAACTGGTACCCGGCGAGCGGGAGGGAGGGAAGAACGAATTATGCCAAAAGTGAAGACGATAAAGACGAGCTCACAATGTCCCCTCGTTCTATTGGACGTCGGACTCACCCCCAATTAAGATGGAACAGGACAACTTGCACACCCTGGTGACGAACATTCTTCGAATGAAACCACGAACTCGATTCGATGATTATGGAAGTTCGGATGAACGACTTTTCTTAACGCCCACTGGTCTTGTTAGAACCGGGGGCAAACTCGGGCGAGGACATTAGGACCTGAGCAAGAGCGCCCGGTAGTGAAAACTTTCACTAGTTAGTTGTATGTATGGCAGAAGGCGGAGAGGACTGCATGGCCGCTGAGAAATGCACGGGGCAACATTAGCGCGACTTTAATTCACAGAAAGCGGAGAAAAGCAGATGATCAGACGTCGAATGTGGGCTCTGTGTGCGTCTGGCCTGGGAACGGCGCTTTGTTCGGTAGGAAAAGAAAAGTTCATCGAGGCATAATGAGGAGCATATATTCGAGGGGCAGGCGCGCACTGGCGTAATGACCGACCATGCAAGGGGAGGTCAGAAGGTGCTAAGACGAAGGTCGGGAAGCAGGAGGGGAGCTAAACAGCTGGGCGAGGAAAAGGGTGCACGACGAGTGCCTTTGACAAAACAATTATTATGAGCTTAAAAGAAGGCGGTTCTTCACGAGCTCGAACCGCAAGAATGGCCTATGAACAGTTTGCGTGAAAGCAAATGAAGCAACTGGACCGGAGTGTTGGCGTAAAGGGGATCTGCGAGTTTGTCGTTAGAGCAGGGAGAATGAGGCATCGGACTACAGTGGGTGGGCATTTGGGTCGAATGGCCGGAAAAGAGGGCGTCAGCAAACAGGGAGAGCCGGACATGTGGCAGAGCGCCATAGCTTCGAAGCCCTTTGAATCCAACGAGAGCAATGGCAATAAGGGGCCGCGCGTGGCATTGGGCTGCGATGCGGGCAAGCGATTCAACGTTGCGCAAGTCGGGATCCCTGAGACACCGATGCAGATAAAGAACCACGTGTGCGTGAACAAGCGAGCGTGGAGCACATGAATGGAGGAGCCTTTCCATGATGCAAGCGGCATCGACCTGAGACGCCCCCGCCGCTGCTGTCAGCCAGAGAGCGAGCGACCGAGCGAGTGAGCGCGGACCTGCGAGGTCGGATGCAGGGCGTGCCGACGAGGGCGGGAATAGGCTGCTGCTGCTGCTACTACTACTCCTCCTCCTCCTGCTGCTCCTGCTGCTGCTGTTGCTGCTGGGGGCTGTACTCAAGCGCGAGAACAGATTCTGGCCATTACAGAAATTACGTGTGCTTTAGGAGACCAGCGTTCAGTTGCATCAGGTGCCTCCTGAAGCACCAGGTCAACGCGTGTTGCAGGCCGGATGGACCTTCCGAGATTTGACGAGCGAGTCTTTAAAGGATCGCGAGCAGACCGCGAGAAAAATCTCTCGGCCTCCGCGAGCTCATGGCCGACGATGCTTCCTCCCAGCCCCGTCCCCCCCTCCTCCCTTCCCTCCAGCCCCCTCCCTACCCCCCAAGCCAGCCCCCAGCCAGCCCGATTGCACTGTACGAGGGCGGGGACCTCGGCAAGCTGGCGCTTCGTTTCCCGAGCAAGAGGGCAGCGCAGAGCAAATGCGACCGTAGGCGCGTCGTTCTGCTGCTGGCGCTGCGTCGCTGGGGCTGGGGCTGGGGCTGGCTGGCTGGCTGGCGCGCGGACCGGTGAACGGACACAAGCCTTTCCGCTGCCTTGGCCGATTCGAGTTTAAACCCAACCCCGCTGCGCTGGGACTAGCCCAGCCTCCGCTGGAGCCCCGTAGGTCCTTAACTGCTGCCGTGGTGGGTTTGATTCTGCGTCGCGGCCCTCGCCTCTGTCTATTTAAGACGCTGCGCTCGACCTCGCACGGTAGGACCGGTCGGTCCCTCGAAATTTCAGGCCCTCTGCTGGACTCTCCGCAGAGACGGAGCTACAGTACTTACTCACGACCCCATCCGTCCAGAGCGCGACGCGACGAGCGACAGAGCAGTGACCTGCTCCTTCCGTCGCATCGAGCGCGACCACGATCGATCGATTCTTCGTGAACAATCCGTCGCGCCTCGGCCGAGCCCCCATGCATGCAGGGGGGAGGGGGCAGGGCCAGCCACCTTCTGTCGTTTCTCTGGGGCCTATCGGGGGCCGGCCTGAACATTCCTTTTTCGTCATGATCCCGGGGCTTGTCCTGGAGAATGGGCTTGCCAATGTTTGGTTTCTTGCGGATCGGATCGATCGCCATGACGAAGCGCGCAGTCGGTCGACTCTCGCACTCGATCGCGGGGGGCGGGTCGTCGAGCTGCGGTGCGAGGAATTTCGTCTTTCTACGCGCGCGCGCGCGATCGCGTCCTTTTGGCAGATGCAACGGCAGCGGCAGTACACTGCACAGCACTAGCGGCTGTAGCTAGGTAGAGCTTCTTTTTCTCGGGGACCAGTCATGAGATGCGCAGGGTTTACATAAGTCGTGACGTTTTCATACTCTGGGGCTGTCTCTATGGCCGTCTAGACTCTTCTCTCTCCAAATCCAACCAAATCTGGCCTGCCGGGGGGTTCCCCTGCCTCGGCACTATTTTACATTAAATCGCGGCGATCGGTGTGTGTGCAATTCGCGCAGCGATAGGTGGCCAGCCCCGGTCCGCCCCATTGCCACGAGCAATTCGGGGTCGTCGACGTCAATGATGATGGCCCCAGTAACCGCCCCGACGATGTCTCGCTCAACCTCCGCTCCTGTTTTGATCTACGGAAGATCACCCGTACGAAAATTCTCTGGCACCGATCGGTTCGCTTGCAAGAATGTGAGCCAGCGTAACGATCATGGTCGCGTGGGCTCACTGTGCGACCCATCTCTCCCCCCCCCCCTTCTGTCGGCCCCGCTGCCCCTTGCGTCACGAGAAGCATGTTCCTCGACACGATTTCCATTCACTCTCATACAAACATCCACACACACACACACACACAAAAGTCGTGGATTTGGATTTGCCACACGGACACGGACATGGACACAGCAGGCACATACGTTACGAACGAGCGACCGACCGAGCGAAGGAGCCAAGCACATGCGAGCGTGGGAGACTTGTTGGAAGACTCGGAAGGCGAACGAGCAAGCACATGCGGGGGGGGGGGGGGCGTGGGAGACTTGGAGACTTGGAAGACGAGAGTGATAAATTTCAATTTTCGAGTAATTACAGAAAATGCGAGGGTGCTAAATGATGGCGGTCAGCGTTGACCGCCATACGTAACCCCGGTGCAAGGCTGCGCTTAAGAATGTTGACAGTGCCATTTTTTATGCGGGTGCTCCTTTTACTCTACGGAAACTCTAAATTCTACCCCGGGGAAGAAGGAGGGAGAGGGAGAGAGAAAGAAGATACAGAGAGCAGGGGCGCTCAGCTTTGGTAGGCTCGGAGGGCCGTCGCACCTCGAGGGGTGCATGTGTAGAGTCTCTCTCACTCTCTCTCGTTCTCTGAGAGGGTGCGCTCGCTTGCTTGGCGAGAGTGTATGTGGAGGAGGTGGTGGTCACCTGTACGAGAGGGGCACGGGGATGTCTTCTCCTCTGGCGAAGATGCCCTGGCTCGGAGATAAAACGGCCTTGGGATCAAACTTTATTTTGTTGCGCACAAAGTCGTTCCATTTGGCCCCGAAGTGAGCCTGCCAATCGGCCAGCGTCGAGTACTTCGGTAGGTACTGCTTGCAGCCCAGCATTGCGCAATACTTCCAGAGCGCACTGTTTCGGTCCAACAGTGTCTCCAGATTTGGGCCCATCGAAGGCACTACCGACTGAAGAAACGCGACAAGATAGAAGACGTCCTCATCCGGTGTCACTGCAGACATTCGGGAATCCCACCTGCACGCCACACAGTACGTTTCCAAGTGGTTAGCCCCTTCGGCTCCGGGCGTCCGAGAATGTAGCTCCTTCTCCATGCCATACGGCAGGCCAGTGAAAGAACCAACCAATGTTGTAGTAAGCTGATCAATCATTGAAAGAGTTAGGCAAGCCGTCGACCCGCAGGTCCTCACTCCCATAAATGAAAGCCGAGGTGAAAAGTCTACCACGCAAAATATCAATCTGGCCCCCTGCTGAAATCAGCAGCAGAGCAGCCTAGCCAAGCAGCTTGCCTTAAAGCTCCGTGAGCTGGACCTTGCAGATCCTAACAGTTGCTTACATGTTTCTGTTGAAGGGATAGACGATCACGGGGCCATTAAGGGTGCTCGCGTCGAGATTTCGGAATACTGTTCGCTCGAAGTCCCCCATTTTACTCGCCGGCACCAGTAAATTTATCCACGGATGCGGCACTTCCCACAAGCCCAGCGATCTCAACAACAGCTCCGTGGCGTGCACACGCTCCAGAAACTCCAAATACGACGTCTGCTGTACGAAGACTTGAGTTGGTATGCATTCCAGTTCTGCGTCGGCCAAGATCTCGTCCACCGTCTGCTCAAACACAACCAAATATAATAAGTAAGTCGATCCCCGCGTACACAGCAATTCATCATTCCCACACATCCGCTTGACGATATTCGCAGCGAACACGTGTTTCGGAGCCCGTGCAATTTCCCCGAAAATTGCCTGTGCTTCCTTCTGTGGGAACTTGTAAGGCATGAATGAATGAATGAATGAGCTCGACGATGATGATCATGATCATGATGACGTGAGCGATGATGGAACTCACATCACGAAGAGAAGATGCAGGCTGTTCGTCGTCCTTGTAATTTTTGGCGAGCTCGATGAAGTAGAGGACGGACGATGTTTCTGGAGCAGGCATCAGAGTGGCATTGACAGTCTGGCCGTCGAAAGGGACAGAGTTATAACCGAATTCGAAGCTCGGACTGTTAGGGACTACAAATCCCTCGACGTAGTCAAACACATTCGACTTTTCCGCCTTGGATATGAAGCGCAACTGGTCGCGCTGGAAAGAAGCGAAGTCCGAGTAAATGGCGCGGACCCAATGGACCTGCGATCACGACGACATCTCGCTGGTTAGCCATCTGAGAGACCGGCGCTTCCAAGGCAGGACCTCCGGAGAAACCAGATCACTTAAATTTCCGTGCTGGTCTCTGCAGGCACTAGTAAACTTCACCAAAATTCACATCCGAGAAGACGTAGGACCAAGGATTTCATTCATAATTCAAGATGCTGCAAGAATTCCGACAGGTTCACCTACATTGGTCGGAACAGGTTGCAGATATATTCTGGCCTTGGTGATGATCCCGAATTGGCCTAGTCCACCGAGAACTGCGAAGAAGAGATCCGGTCGGACCTCCCTCGAGCAAGTGACTAATTCGCCCATTCCTGAATATTGACAGGACGACGTAGGCTTAGAGATTTAGATTGAACATCATGTCAAAGCATTTCAGTAGGTCTCGTGCACGAAAGATGCTCCGCTCGACCACAATGGACGTATGCTCTGAGGACTAGGCAATATCACGTGAAGAAAGCTCAATGACAGCTCGGTATCATGCTCGAGCATGATACCAATTCGGATGAATAAGTGAATTTGTGCAGCTCGAGGCAAAAATTGATGTGCTCTATGGAAAATTTGCTGGATATAGACACGCACTGCAATGACAGAAACTCACCGGTGACCACTTCTAATTGGAGCACATTGCTGATCTGTGGACCCCAACGAAACGACTGGCCACTGACGCCGGCATTCGAGAGAGTTCCGCCCACGCTCAGATGAAGATAATCTGTGAAGGACCTCGGAGCGAGACCTTCTTTCATGCATGCCTGCAACACATTTATCCACAATTCGCCAGCAGCGGCTTCGACGTACATTCCGGTGACGTTCACGTCGATGCCGCCGAGCGATGGCATGTCGACGACGACGCCCTTCTCGACTTGAGATTGTCCGTTGACAGAATGGCCAGGTCCCCTGGCTGCAATTGAGATGTTAGAACTGGACTGGACCACAGCTCGCACTAGACTCACGATGTCGCGCGTCGAGCCCGGGTGGAGAACGGCCGCCGGCTTCAGGCTGCGAAGGCGCCCGAAGTCTTGCGCAGCTCGTTTGGTGTCGAAGAACGTGAGGTGTCCATCCAGAGGAAGAGTCGACAATTTGCGGCATTCCGCGTCGGGCAGCGAGCAGCTCCCGGCGAGATCCACCGTGCTAAACGCCGGGGCGATGACGCAGCTGAATCCCAGCAGCAACACCGCCGTGAGACACTCTAAGAGCTGCAACGCGCGCTTCCGATCCATCTCGTGCGCCTCCAGCAGGCCGACGACGAACCTCGCCCGGCTTCAGATCAGAATCTCGCACCACAATAGAGCGTAATATAAGGCGCGGCGGATGATGGTGATGCCCGAGTCCGCAAATACCACCCGATGCCCACGCACTCGACCAATGTCTCTAACGCACCCAAGCGAACTGGAGTCGTGAGGACTCGGGCTATCGAAGCAGGAATCGGGCGATGAAAATGCACGAAAATCACGGAGGCAAATAAACATGCCCCGGCGTCTGCTCGTGGAGCAAGGCCAGCCCCGCCTCGAGTCTAAGTTACGACGACGACGGAATATAGAGCGATGCAGCAGCGAACGAACTCATTTCCCAGCGTCTCTCTCGCTCGCGGGGCTCGCTATTTAACTCGAGCCGGGCGGGACGCTGTATTCGGAGGCCGGCGGGCGGGGGCAGGCAGGGCGCAGGATGGCGCGGAAAGCGCGGGCGCTGCCAGAGGCCGCGAGCCTTTTGGAGGGCGCGACGCTCGCTCGGAGGGCGCAGGCGGGCTGCGAGCTAGAGAGGCACAGAGACGCGGGTAGAGAGAGAGAGAAAGAAAGGGAACTGGGCCTCTCGCTCGCTCTTTCCTGTCTGGGCGACGAGGGCCGTGACAGCACTATTTAAAGCGCGGCATAACCCCGGTGGTAAAGGCGGCGGTAACTATACCAACTCGGTCGGGGCCGGGGGCGGGGGCCAACTGATCCCAGCCCCCCACCCGGCCGAGCTCACGGAGTGTTGCTGCTGCTGCCCCGGGCCGGTGACCGTCGCCGAGTCGCCGGTTCCGTCGCTTTGCGGCCCGTCGTTTCGGGCTGGAGGTTCCCGGTGCCTATCCCGACAGCGGCCGACCGACTGCAGCAGTGACCCCCACGGCTCGCCCAGCCTCGGACCTAGGCCCCCTCCCGGTTCCACGGTTGCGCGGGATCTTCTCTGTCTGCGAATTGCCGCCGCGGACGACGAGCTTACGGGCCGTGCGGCGAGACCGTTCACGCACCGGCGCGGGGGTTCGGTTTCCAGCCCCTTCCGGCACATGGCGTTCGGCTGAGAATTCAAAATTCGCATGTCATCTGCGCCGACCGCCTACAGCCGGTTTGTGTCCAAATTATTCCCCTCGCTCGCCCGCCGCTTGTTGACCTGCGCCGGCCGTCAACGATTGGCGCTTTACCGCCAAGTGGGCGGCGGCGCCTGGAAACGCCACCGGATGAGCGCGCAACCCCCGGTTCCGCCAGGCCCCCGAAGGGCACAGGGGCTGGGGCAGAGGATAGTATTACGATTTGATAAGCCCCGCACTCCCCCCCCCAGAATTAATGACTCCACGTCGTAACTCGCTCGCTCGCTCGGCCCTATCCATGGCCCGCCCGAGCCCGTCGATCCTCGCCGTTCATTGCCGCGCTGCTCTGCTTGCTCGTGATATGGTGCTGTGGTCAAGGTTTTGGTTGCCATCGCCACTCTCAGCAGGACCACTTGTAGCTGCTCGCCTAGCCCCACTCGGAGGCCCCCTCGTATTATAACCCCCTCGCCCGCTTTGCAGAGGCCTCTGATGCATCGAGAATATGAGGCTTGTAAGCCTGACATGCCCTAGGCCCTCCCTCCCTCCCTTCCTTCCTTCCTTTCTTCCTGCCTAGCGTCTTTTCCTAGGACGAAGAACTGTTCGCAACAGCGCCCGTACTTTCTCGCACCGGCAAAGTTCGCCCGTCAGTCATTCGGTCATTCTAAATTCGGTCTTAGATTTCGAGTCGTCGAGATGTAATTCCATCGTGTCTCGTCTCTGTCGAGGCCGGATCATTAAAATTAAGCTTCACTCATCACTCATCCCACGACATCGATGTGTCCATCGAACTCGCAGCAGCAGCGACTGGTGAGCAGGTGGTCGCAGCGAAGCCTAGAAAACCATGCGGCGTGGCAATTCTCTCTCTCTGGCCACTGCTGCAATTCCTCATCCACAGAAGGAAATTCGCTCGAATGAGGAGAAATGTGCGGCTTTACAATCTGGTGGAATGAATGAGCGACGGTCGATAAGTAGAAATTACTGCTTAATTCGGGCGGGCGAGGGGAGGGAAACAAACTCGAGCGAACGACTGCAAGAATGAATGACTGAATGATAGCTGGATGGTGTAGGGAGGATATTACTCAGTGGCTAGCATAAGGCTCACATGTATGAAAGGGCATAAACAAAGGAGGAAAATCTTCGAGGCAGGCGGAAAGATTCGCATATATATGACACTTGAGTCCTTGCAGCGTACGAACCAGGCATAAAACAAAGGGCGGGTGAGAATCAAATGTGGGCGAAGGCAGGAAGCGAGGGAGTACACTTTGAATGTCAAGGTGCATCGTGAAACTTCCAATGATGCAATAGGTTAATTATGCCGCCCTACACGCTCGTGTGATTCCAACAGAACATGTTCTTCTGAAACACTACAGAAAACCGCCTACACGACCTCCCCTTAAAAGCGACTTACACAAGATTCGAACTCGCTTGTCAGTGAGTCTCATGATAATACAACAATACAACGAACAAGCAGACGCCCCTTTAAAGGTTGTGACGAGAAGAATTTTGGAAAATGATACCGCGATGGAAAGAAAAGAAGCGCTCTGATAAAGTGCTCCCACTATTGCAGGAATTTCGAGCAGTTATTAGTGCTAGGCGAGATTTTGTAGTCCTGTAGCCGTCCATGTCTGAATGCCAAAAGATGCACACCATATTTATCTTCACGAGCTTCCAATTAATAATCCAAAGCCCCTGATGCCCTTCCAAGTGTCGGCTGGATGATAATCATGCACACACGCACGCTTTGCAAATCTTTCTAATCCCTTAGCTGGCTCAAGACAACATCCTCAGCCATAACTCCATACCTGTAAAGAACAACAGCATCATCTTTTATATATGTTTATTTATTTATATTTATATATAAATTATATGTATTGTCTTGGACGTGTTCGTGTTCAACAATGGCTGTGACGAGGTGGATTGGGAAGCAACCATTGCATAGGCAAAATCAATCATGAGTTTGAGTTAGGGTCATAGCTAAAGAAACTGAAAACTCTCCGTAAACTCACACATCTTCGTCGATGAAAATTCAGTTCTGAGTAAAATCTCAATCAATAGGTAATGCAACTAGTTGTATTACTTGTAGATTCTCCAGTCTCAAATTATGTTCACTGGAGGGAAAAGATTCACCTTATTATACCTACAATTTGAAACTATCAACTAAGTATTCCAGTTAAATTCAAATTGTAAGGATAATATGGCAAATATTTTCCTCCAATGAACATAATTTGAGACTGGAGAATCATCAGAGTGGAAAATATTTTTAAACATTCAAGACAATATCAAATTTTATCTTAATTTAAAAAATTCAGCTGAACTTGTTCCACTAAAAATTCTCCGCGTACTGCAATATCAGTGCTCAAGAGCAGGACATTTTCTATTTGGAAGACAGATATAGATCTTAACTGTTAAGTAAATGAATTGAACTAGACATCATTTCATATCTACAATTCAAAAACATTATGAAAGAAAGTAGAGATTAATCAACTGTAAATTACATTACTGTATCAGTATTATGTTATATGCTTTAATATATATTGAAAGTACAACTGCGCTTTCTCAAGCCTTTCAAGACAAAGAAAGCCTGAGAGACCCAAAAATTTGTATATTTTTCTATAGTTCCAGCCTACTTCTTTCACGTTCAAGAAGCGCTAAAAGCACTTAATATGTTTTCGCATAAGGCCTATGGTTTTTTAATATATGATCGAACAGAATATAATCATGATGAATTTATTGAATACATCTTAAATATAAGCTTTCATTTTGAATCAACAAACAAGCAACTTGATTAACAGTATTGGTTATACAGTGCTAACAAGTCAACTCGAAAATGCAATCTGACATTTGGGGTACTCTAAACGAGCAAGATGTTGTAACTCATATTACCAGTGGAAAATTTGCACACAACCCTACTACAATTTAAGGTAGGCTCGTACTTTTCATAAGTGAAATATCTAAACTCTTGGAGGAGATCTGTTTTGAATTTCAAAACATTCTCCATTATATGTTATTTCCTTATGTCATATGAAATCACTGCAAGAGAAAATGAAATAGATATCTCTCCGAGTAAAAATGAAACCACATTATTTGAATTTGTTCATTCTTGAAAACGTTTTCTGTTGAAATTGCTAATTTAAAATGACAGGTTGTGCAAGAATTGTATCAACTATAGAATTTATGTACATCTCAAAGTTTTCAATTTCATCAAAACAATTAGATTCCACATAACATTTCACAAAAGAACTATCTTGACATGCTATACTTTGGATAACATTGTATCAATTTCATTTCTGGAATTCTAATGAAAGTGTTTCTATTTACAAAAAATATAATTTCAAATTTAGCAAGAATATATTTCTGATTTATGCAGAAGTTCACAAATTATCATCATCCAAACATATGTTGATAGGTTAGGGCTCGAGTTTGATTGTGGGTTAGAGTTCTAGGTTTGCGAAAAATTGGAACCTAAACCACTATCTAAAAAAATAAAAAATCCACAGTTTTGTTATATAAAAATTTTATTCACAAAATAAATTGAATAATGAAGGGAAAAAATCTAAAAACTAATATTTGAATGGGGAAAATCATTATTTTATTGAGTTAAAATTACTAGAATAATATTGATTATGAAAAATATCCATAGTTTTGATGTTTAATCATGACATAAGTAAAACAACTGATCTCATTATATATCTTAGTTAGTAGGTAAAACGGAGACGCGTAAATTGATGGTTGAAAACTATTTCCAAACAATTTTCATATAATTGACATATTTCATATGTCAATTATAAAAAAAATTCATAGTTTCCCTTAACATATTCTTAACGTAATGTACCAAAGAGTGATTGATGACAAATTATTTATTCACAGGTGAAATTCATTCAACATAATGATGATGAAAAAATTATAACACTTATTTTAACTAGTCTTAAATGAATCAACAACTTAACTATTCTAAAAAAATTAAAGTTACAAAAAAATGTATCTAAGTTAGATAATACAATAAACCAATGTTAATCTTAGCATAAACTATATATGATTCGCTTATATTAATTCCAATAAATTTATTAAGTTTAATGTAAAACTGATATTTATAAGAAAAATTTTTAAAATTTTCTATATATGTTTTGAGCTAGTTGTATCTGAATGCTAAGTATGATGTTAACGTGGAAGCCTCTAGTTCAAGGCTAATAAAATTTCTAGGAAAAAAATTAACTTCAACAAAACTTATCTTCTATAAATATGATTTATATCTGAACATTTTGTAATCATTTTCAGAAATTAATTATACACACATCTTTTATGTTTGATCGAAGTTACTATGTTGGTCGATATAGAAGTACATTCATATTGTAGTCAGAATTATATTAAAAAAAGATAGTCTATAATGCATTCACAATCAAATGAGGAAAATTTATTGAATGTATCTACATCCAGTAATTTCATGATGTGGATGAAACCTGGATGTAATCATGTCTGATCACGTAAATTTCAGTCTATGGAATTAAGCGGAAAGGCAATGATGCAAAGGATGTGTACTGCTGAGCGATA